AAGCAATGCCACATTTGTCACTTTCTCCTTGTCAATTTTACTTGCTGGAAAAAACTTTCAAGTAGTAATATCACAAGCAGTAATTGTGAAAGTTCCATTAATTTTACCATTATTCCATCTCTTTGTGTTCTTGCGAAACTCATTGTAAAAGGATGTGGGAACTATTTTCTTGGACATCATGAAAAACAAAACGTCAATTTTGGATATAAAAAATAAAGAGTTAGAATCCATTTATCGGTTATATATATCATTCCATTTATTTAATTTCTAGTTTTACGGACTCAATTATGAGCCCGTTTGGTAGCACAAAAATGGACTGTTTTGGCTGATTCTGGTGAAATTTATGAAGTTCTGGCTGAAATGGCTGCATTGGCTGATTCTGCTGATACAAGAAAAAAATATTTTTAAAATATATTTTATTAATAAAATAAAGAAAAAATTATATGTAAAATTAGCTAAAATGATCATCTACAGTAACTTCAGCCAATACAGCCAGAAAAGTAACTCCAACCTTACTTTTTCGGCTTATTGCACAATTCAGCGAGCGAAAGCAAAGTTTACGTGTTTGGTAAAAAAGTTACCTGATAAGCCTGATAAACCGAAAATGAGGGTTGCCAAACGGCCTCTATATCACGAACATATTAATCATTGGCAATCTAGCTGCAACATTATAAGAATCATCGTTACATACTTTTACATAGCCATTTTGTCACAAAAATTCACAACGTTATTGTAATCATGCTTTTGAGCTGGGCTTCCATTATGAAATTGGTTACATAGGAGTATAATACTTTTTACGATCTAAATGATCTTATGGTGTTCAATTGACACGCCTTTTCAGAAATGTGATTAAAAATAAAAACGTATAGTTCAGATTTGAGATCATACAAATTAAATGGTAAAAACTTACGTAGTATTTCTTCCTTTTAAAAATTATAGGAAACTATATTTCGTGGGTGAAGAGGAAAAAGAAGAATAGAAAGTAAAGCTTTTTACTCACGGTATGGATCGCTAGCAGTGGTGGACTCAGAGATTTGTGGGAGTCGGGGCACACTAGACACTAAACTTAGTCTATAATAAAAGCTCCGAGCTCGAAGCGGGACACTGGTTTTTACTTTAAGTGCTACTAGTGAATTTTCGGGCTCGAAGCGGGGGCACGTGCCCTCCTTAGGTCCTCCATTGATTGCTAGGACCGTAGGCCAATGGCCTTGTAACTTGTCTACTGAAATCTTATTAAGGCCTTATTATGCCGCGCAACACAGGACGGGGTTGGTGATATACGTCTCGGTGGATTCGTTCTTTGAAACCAATAAAATATCGATGAAACTGATCGTAATCAAATTCAAAATTACCTGCCTGTTTTAGATGTGGTTCATAAACTACATAGTTATGTGAGTATAACCTTCGACACCCGAATTATTATCAAGAAAAAAGAATGAATGCATATTCATGGACATATTCAGGATTTTTAATTTTCTTAATATGTACGTGCATTTGCTTATTATGTAAATATATAATCGACAATTTTACATGAACTGAATTCTGATTTAATAAGTATTAAGTTTGCCCATTAAAAAAAACAAGTACTCCTTATCAAGTTTGACTTTCAACTTAACATCTTACGTATACCGATATACCACCTTCCAATTATTTTTAGTTGTTGTTTCAAAGGGTGGAATCTCCCACCCCACGAGTCCCACACACCGATCTGACGGGATTTTTGGGATGATGTAAGTCACGGTGACTCAGTCGGCCCAATGATGATAGGCCTTATACTCGTGCGCATCAGAGGTCCAGCCCAGCACGCAGGAGCTGTAACCTCCACACGGTCGTTGCGGGTTTCAATTCGAACTTTGATCATTGTTCCAAATTTCCCACCACTAAACCGATTGAGCTACCCGTGCGGGTTTCCAATTATTTTTAGTAATATAAATGGTATCTAACACATTAATAGAAAGGTATGAGTCGTAGGGGTCTAGATAGGTCATTGCTAGGGGCTAAAAATCCGGTGAATGAGAGGCAAAATGCTAAAAATGTAAGTTTTACCCTATAAAAACTACTACAGTGTTTGGGTTACATTTGGTTATGGACAAAACTTATGGATTCAAGTAGGGAAGTAACAATACTTGAGCAGTTGAGCGAATTAAAAAATAATACAAAGCTTGTTGTATCAATAAAAATGTCCTAACTCGCAAATGTGCCAATTCCAGCCTTTGTAGTTTCCAACATTCACAAGCCCAGTCCAATGGGGTCGGCTTAGGATTGTAAAATTTTCACCATCTTGAAATAAAACAACGCAATTTCAAATATGATGTCACAAAGTTACCAATACAATCAATTGATTTTTAAAAAATTACCAATAAAATTAATTAATTAAGATAGCCGGGAAAAACAGAAACAAGATGGAACAGAAAAACCAAAGCTTGTGCTACATAAAATTTCTTTAAAACGTATTTGTATAATTCGTGTATGATGTCCGCATGTCGCTCGGCACACAAATCGCAGTTTTTCTTCTCCGTTTTCGGAATTTAATCGTACATCTTGCACGCGAAAAGAGCCTTTCCACTTAGGATTCTCAACCCTTTCAAAGAGGGAACCCTTTACAACGGGATGAAAATCCCTTGGTTTTTCCAATGTGAGATAAATTACACTAGCAAATCATCTTTTTTCTAGTTTTCTCCATTTCGACAAGTAAACTTCGAGAATCAATTTATCATTCATCTGTTGTCTATTTTGAGTGTACCACATATCGAATTTAAGCCCTTAACAAAAAGAATTCAAAACTACTTTGACCCGATTCAAATCGGAAGTGAGACTCGCTCAGAATTCTGCCCCAAATGTACCATTTAATGTAATTGTTAACACATTTTTCAAACATGTACCATCATTATCTTTAAAATACTTCCAAATGATTCGATTGCAAAAATAGAAAATGAAATGAGAATTTGAAGCCCGGGACCCGGACTCATATCCACCACTACCGAGTACCGATATGTAATTACAAATCTATAAAAGTTTAAATGTTTTATCCCACCCGAATAAAAACGAATAAGATTGTATGCTGCCCTAGTACACTAAAGTGGAGCAATTCTTTTGAAGTTTTTTTTAATACTCCAGGGGTCTGGGGGATCTGGGGAGCTCGAATGCTTGGTTAATTCTTTTTAAGGTTAGTCAATTAAGATGTTTAATTTGAGGCTCACGCTAGTTCATAGTAAACCATGTTTAAACAGATGAGATCAAATCAAATGCTCAAATTAAACTAAACAAAACTCAGTCAGTATTGAGTGCACATAATACATACTTTTACCACACTAGATCAAACCAATTCATTCACATTCAATCGGAACATACTTAGATAAAAAAACGTAGTCCAAGTGAGAACATTCTTAATCAATCATAAATGGGATAAGTTTCCTTTTAACATTTTGTTATTTCAATATGAAAATAATGACACCTCATCTCTGAGGGCCTCCCAACCCCGACCGGACGGTACTTTAAGAGGATGTAAATTGGATTATAATCACAATCTAACAGATAGAGAGTGGGGCTCTGTCCCCGGTACTTGCAGAGGCCCTATGCATTTTTAACATAGTAACCTCTCATCGCAGTTGCCGGGATTCGAACCCGGGACCTAACCCTTTTTTTGTTATTTCAATATGGATTCATTTGGGTACAATTTTACGTAGCACGGATTACAGAGTAGTTTTTTTTGGCAAATTATATCGTAGGATCGGCGCACCTTGAGCATGGTGTGCCGATCCCAAAACGGCATCACTTTATCAATTAAATAGAAAAACAATCTCTTGCAAAAATAAATAGAACCATCGATCTTCCGCAGCAGCAGTAATTAAGGAGCCACCATCATTTTTTCAGAAGCTCTTCAATGTCTGCTCTTCAATCCGCCACAACGGTAAGGAACGTAACCGTTGATGTTGATCGATGAATTACACAGCATAAATTTCTAACTTTCTGCTTAACCCTTGAAATATGGAATCATGGTATCGATGGAAATGTGGAATCACGGATTCACGCATAACCCTTGAAAGTAGATTCCTTTGCTTTCATTTAACATCTACCCTTTAATCAAATTCCATTAATATAATTTTTTCCATTTTGATGTTGATTGATGGAATTGATCGATATATACTGTATATGTATATATGTGTGTGGGCATTTGTTTAATACATGAAGTTACATCTTTTTACATTTCATTTACATCTTAATGTACGCGAGTTACATCTTAATAGACACGAGTTACATCTTGATGTATGTGAGTTACACCACGCAATAAACCTCTGTAATATCATTTTTATAGCCCTAATATTAAAAATAAAACATATTCACTATTTAAAAAAAGTTATTAAGCTATTAGGATCAATTTTTCATTGTTTACATTGAAATCAATTTTTATAATATATATATATATATATATATATATATATATATATATATATATATATATATATATATATATATATATATATATAATTCTCAAACACAAAAAAATCATTGTTCAATTTTCCAACAAGTTACATTTCGAATGAACTTGAGTTACATCGATCAATAACGTAAGTTACATATCTTTACACACGGGTTACATCATTCACTCTACTAGGATAAAAAGAAAGAAAAAATAGTCACTGCACACGCGTGTACTGTTCACGCATCTACTGTTCACGCATTTTTTTTAAATTGTTCAAAATTACGTCGTTTTGGGAGTGGAGCACGGTGCTCACCGTGGGATGATCTCAGGGTATAATGGTTTTTTTTGTCTATTTTTCTTTTCATTTTTAAAAGGAAAAAGATCACTATATATTTCTACCATTTCAAATTCATCACATACACTAAACTCTATGACCTAACCAAATGCTCCGACTGCCTCCGAGTTCAATTGACGGCGGACCACATCGTTGTTACTACTTGTAATTGGGGACTGAAATCCGTGTGTCGCTCTCCTAATCTCCTATTAATTAAATCCAATTCATTTACAAGTTTTTAACCAACGCTCCACCAAAAACATGGACATATTACTTGTAAATCTTCAAATAACTCAATAGATCAGATGAAGATTTCACTACACCCTTGTATCTTTCTGAGGAATTCTAAATAGAGACTGAGAAACGTAGTAATAATGAGTTTATATTAACATACAAAAACAACATTTGTTTGGCGATGAAATGATGTGGGAAGGAAAAGAAGTGAATAACTATATACATACAATAATTTGCGGACAAGCTGATTCCTGGGAACTCTTTCATTGTCTGATGGGGTATATTAATTTCCAGTAAGAGAAGAGTCGTGATGCTCAGTTTCTTTACGAGATGCCTCCCATAGTCGTCGCTCAATGCCCAACTTCCTAAGCTCCATTAGGCCTTGCTCAACTGAAATGGAATCCCCAGTACCATTACTAACAGACAAAAGTAACTCTTAACTGAGCATAAAACACATAAAATGGGTTTGGATGGAGTTACTGACCCAACAGTCCACATGATGACATGAGTAATGGAATAGCGTATGTTTGAAATCTGAAAAATTATTACGGAGTATTTTTTATTTAAAAAAGGGTTACCATCAACAGCATCATATGAAGTTGGTGACTGCGAACTACGGCCTATCCAAAACTGAAGCCGCTTGTTGGCAATTTCCTCCTCTATGCCTTGGGCCTTGGCTCTCCTCCAAAAATAAGTTAGCCATGCCTACATGGATCCAATATGAACATAATTTTAATGAACAAGCAAGCAAAGAGCCCTCCTTTAGGGAGGCAATCATTGGACTGAGACTAGATAGTTCGCTTGAATTAGGAGAAGCACATATACTCGATAGATATTCTAAAGGGAAACATAGGGGCTAGCACAAATGGTGGATTGGGTTTTATAAAAAAATGTATAGTATAACCCAAAAGACAGTGATGTCAACCTCCTTGAAAAGCACATCCTCAGACTCCTCGGGGCTCAATTCTGTAAAAAGAAACATGCAGATGCTTTAGATGAATTTCAAAGCAATTTAGAAGAGTAATAAACTATGCATATTGGTCAAAATTCCAAATTTAAAACTTAGGTTCCAGTTTTCTGGAGGGATGACACCAGCAGAGTTTATGTCACCAAAGATGGTGAGGAGTACAGAACCAAAAAAGACAGTGAAACTTAGAAAAGTGAAGGGTGACAACGAAGTGTGGACAGGCTTGGTGCAACCGAGTATCTCCACTTCTGTCCTTTTGAGTTCCTGTACCCTAAAGTCATGGCCGGCTAGGGTGGGCAACAAGGGCATGTGTCCTAGGTCCATAGAAAAATAATTAAAATGAGGCCTAATAGTAGGAAAGTTAGCAGACCCAAAAACCTATTTTGTGAAAAAAAGAACAAAGTCTCGTAAGATTCAAAGCTCAAACCTGCCTTGACAAATTTATATAGACCAATTACTTTAGTGAAAGTAGTAAACTATGCAAGACCTATTGTGGGGGTATGAAGGTACCAGGACAAAACAAAGGAAGAAGTATTTTACTGAGATGCAATCTCCCCTATGGTCCATAGAAAAATCAGGGCATACCATGCCCAAAGACCAAAATGTGTGGGACTGGTATTTTGAAGGTGACATTGTGACAATGAAATTAAAATGATGAAAAAGACATCCCCTATGCACTGAGCCATGTGATGATGATGCCAAGAACAACAACATGATGCCAAAAAAAAGCATTATAATATGCTTAAATAAAGGATACATTTGATTAAACTAACCAACTGCTTCCATATACTTGCGATCACCGGCAGGTGACTTGAGATCTGTCATAATGGAAGCAGATGCAACACACTAATTATTATATAGAATGTGTGAACGTCCCCCAAATGTCTTATGTCATAAGTTTAGTAACCACCAAAAGAAACACAACAAAAAAGGAAGTAACAGAGAGGTGCAGAATGAAAAGAGGAGTAAGGGGCCAATTAGGCTGAGGGGGGGAGGGGGTTACTTGAGAATCATATCATAAACAACACCGTCAACACGGATAATCCACCCCATGCAAATACATATTGAAGTCCAACCTGAGATTGACAATCTAGAAGAGTTTATGTGCCGTTGTTGAGCCAGTGCAACTACAATTGCGTCTTCAACCTAGAAAGAATCATCATAAATAGTTATAGAAAAACTAGTCAAACATCTACTAAATGTGAAAAGTCAATATAATGAAAAAATGTCAATATAGTGGACAAGGACGTCTAAGAGTATTTTCATTATAATGAAAAGACTATATGAAAAGAACAAAATAGTTGAGAAGACTAGTTTAGTAGATGTTTGACTAGTTTAGTAAACGTGAAAAGTCAAAATCTAAAATATTTTGTTACATAATTGAGAATGTAGATTCAATGAGTCATATTTTTATGCTGGGCAAAAATTGTTATAAAGCATAACTACGGACCATACATCATTTTAGTCGGTGCCAAGAATATATAACAGTATAATCAGAAGATATATTACTATAATCATAAGTCATGAAGAAACCCTTTGTTAAATGTGCAAAATTGCAAATAATGGGTGTCATAGACTCAGAGCATGCATAAGTTATTCAGTGGTGATAGATGAAATAAGTAGAGCATTAGGTTATAAAATTCATGGATGTATACAATCAGCGTATGATAAAGTATATCTAAAATTATAAATCACGAGTTAATTAAAAAAACATGGACGCTCAATTGAAGTGGCAAACCTTCAATGTAGTAAGTTCTTTCAATCCCATCTCAACTAAAAGCATAGTCTCAATGTTGCTTTCACCAGTCAGATCACTCAAATCTTGAACATGCTTGCCCCTTTCTGGATTGTCATCTCCTGCTCAATTACAAAGGTATTAGGCTTTCACCATCTTCATCATTAACATCATTTTTAGCACCTCAATCCCAATTAATTGAGGTCGGTGGTGTAAAATTTATGATGCTGAGTGTTAGCCTTGCATAGTTAATTAGTTATTCGCAAACTGAAATATATCACGAAAGAAATAAAGAAATATTTAAAGACCAAGATTGTAAGATATATAATTTTGGATTAAAGATTTATGGATTACAACTAAGAGCTACTAACCTGTTTGCGAGTATTCTTCCTTAGCTTTTTGCCCAGCAGAGAGGACTATTTCAAAAGGAAGAGGGGCGAAAGATGACCAATATTCATGCTTTGTGACAGCAATATCCACACAGATACCTGCATAACAAGATCATCGACGCCTTAATCCTAATTCCTAGATATGTTGGGCGATAACTAGTGTTTTGATAACTTAATTGTCCCTAATTATGGTACTTGTTCATTTGTTATTGCAATCTTTTGAGCTAATACGCTTTTCGGATCCATAAAGAAGAGAAGATCAATGTTGCAAGCATTCAGGGGCAACAAATGGATTATATTCAGCTTTAGGCTCCCCGCAGACCACTTGGAAGCAAGCCTGAGCAAAAAGGGCAGGGAAAAGTACTGAAACAAGCAAAGTAATGGCTAGGACAAGTCGTTGTGTGGCTGAACAGGCCGGTAACAGGCTTGCATGCCGTTACTTAACTTCCGCACAAAATCATCACGCAGTAATGACGTAGGCAACATTGTTACCTTCCACGTTACTGCGTCTGTTTTTGTCCCCAGATTGATAACGACATAGGCAACATTATTACCTACGTCGTTAACCGGAATACCCGCATCCCGTCCCTTTCCCGTCCAGCTAGTAACAGCATGAGTAATGTTGTATTGTACGTAGTATCTCATTACCTCTGCCACATTGAGTTTTCTGTGTTCTTAGGGGTTTTCCCCTTGATGCGTCAATACATTTCTTTCATCATTTTTAGCATAATACATCTTACGAGTACTTCAGCTCTATTCCTCTATGATTTCAAGCTTTTCACATTTACTTTGTCCAAGACTCTTGGAAGTGAATAGCTAGAGGAGTAATGTAGATGAACAGGTAGATTATGTAGAGGAGTAAGAATAGTTGGGTAATACAAGAAAAGCCACCAATCAATGGAAGATTTTCTTGGATTCACTCCCCTACCTTGGAAGAGGCTAAGGAGCCTTGAATCTCACCCTGTTTCCCTAAGTACTTGAAATCCTATATTTTCAATGACGCTTTTCATCAAACACATGGTGCCCTACATGTAAATCCCTTTTATGGGCCATTTAATCAAATTTTGCTTTTTTAATATTGAAAAATTCAAAAATCACTTCTCAGATGGCTTAGCTTCAAAACTAAAGTAGACCGATCTACAAATTAGTGCTCAATGACGTAGCATTTAATTTTCCTACAGTTATCACCTGCGGGGGCGACACTCTTTTTACTATTCTCATTCATTCTACACTACATCTCAAAAGCATTTTACTTAAAACTCAAATGGTGTTGCGTTATCAGTGATAGCTTTGGTTTTAAGTGGTTTGTTTGATGACATTAGTTTCACTTGTACTTTTGGAGATCAAGTTGTTTTCAGTTTTTGTGCGATTTCTTGTGCATGCAGGAGTGGCAGGATTTAACTTGCTTACTCCCCCCCCCCCCCCCCCGTACTTGCTCTTTAAACCTTTAATCAAATTTTGCTTTTTAAGCTTTGAATATTAAAAAATTATTACTTCTCAGTTGACTTAACATCAAAACTAAAGTAGAGTTACAAATTAGTGTTCAATGACGTAGCATTTCTACTATTGCTATCCCTACGAGAAAGACACTCTTCTTACAACTATTCTCACCCTTTTACACATATTCCAAACTGCTTTTTGTTCAACAATCATTGGGGTAGGTGAGACAAAATTTATAGTGCAATAAATTGTCTCTAATTAGATAATGCTATAAATCCAAGCAAACCTACTGCAGCAATGTTCCTCTCAAGGCTAGATATCCGTCACAGCCTTCTTAAGAAGGAACAATGAGATGAAATTCCGAAGTTGTTCTCATCATAGACTTGCATGTAAGATATCACGAGATGGTGATATGTTTAGATAATTACTGGTCTTTTTACATTATAAGATTGATATTGATGTTGAAAATCAACATGCACATCATGGGAAATTACAGTACAAAATATGCAAAAGGCAAAAACTGACCATACTGAGCAGCTAAACCCCAATAGCGAGCCAGCCAGCATCTTTTGAGAACAACTTCTTCCTGGCATATGAATAAGCTACTATTTTAACTTAAATCTTGCAGTATGTCGCACTTTAAATAGCTAGCTGATCTCCAAAAAAGTACAACAACAAACCATTTCATTCTGGGTTAGAACCATTCTTTGTGTCATAGACCGCAGTGATTTAACTTCAGATTGAGTCCCTTGAAGTTTATCATTAACAGAATCTGCTTCTCTTTTGGCATTCTATTGCATATTAAGCACCATGAGTCAAAACGTGAGGCCGAAGAATGCAAAATAAACAGCAACACTTGTATGCAGCCCTGCATGGCAGAACACCTTACCATTACACCAGAACGGAGGGTTGCAAGCTCTGCATCCACCCCCTCTTTTGACTTTGCTTCTTTTAGTGCAGCCTACAATAGCTTGGTGCTTACGATCATAAGAAAGTTATATATAAACCAAAAAATGATTGAATTTAATGCGGCAAATGGTTTTAGTCCCTTTTCTTTTTGGTAAGTGGACTGCAAATTCAATTCTGAACCAAATGCTATTGCTTAAGAGCCAAGAACAGACCAGCTACACATCACACACACACAAGAATAGACCATCTAATTAGAAAAATTCAAAAATTACCTCCCTTTGGCGTAGAGAAGCTTCTTTTCTGCATATGAAAAAGACTAGTTTCAGTCATGTAACATCAAACGCAGAATATTAGCTATAAGTCAGTTGAAAAAGTAAGAAACTTATTACTTCTATAACAAATTCGTAAATTTTGTGTGACCTGTTCAATAGCTTGGCTTCTAACGACACTCCTTTTCCCACAGCAGCAACCTGAAATAAGAAAATAATTATTCAGATTAATTGTCTAGTCATGTAGGGGTTCTAATTTTAATTGACTACTCCTTCTGGTCCTGTTTATAATAGTCGTCTATGTATATCATATTTTATAATATTAATACAATTCTAATGTGTTTTTCCACAGCTGCTCCAATGAAATAAATTCTTGATGATGAAAGATAAGGATTGAAAACCTAAATAAAGATAAGATATGCTAGGAAAATTAAGATTTTAATTAGTTTCTTGGTTTTGGTGGAAACCCAAATCACTCCATATTAGTCGGACTGATGGCAATAAAAAATTAACTATAAACACTCTAAGGGGAGGAATTATAAATGTCTGTAAAGTTGTAAGTTGTAATGTTTTAGCATGTGGATGGACCATAAGTCCACGAAAATCACAGTAAGAAATTGATATATCACAAACTAGCAACGTATCTTGACCAATTATGACTTCAAGAATAATAAATAAATAAATAAATAAATAAATAAATAAATAAATAAATAAATAAATAAATAAATAAATAAATAAATAAATAAATAAATAAATAAATAAATAAATAAATAAATAAATAAATAAATAAATAAATAACTAAATAAATAAATAAATAAATAAACCATCTCCTTTACAAAGTGTACATTAACATTATACACTTATTGACTAACCTGCTTCTCGAACTCCATAACTCTAGCTTCTGCTTGTCTAAAATTCTCCTCAGCAATCCTAAGCTGTAGGCAAGGGTCACTGTCAAAATGATGGATTAATTGAAAAGGAAAGAATAGAAAACTAACAACTGAAATGTCCACCTTTTCACGAAGATTCTCATTTTCTTCTTGTAGCATATCAAACTGCACATGAGGCCAAAGGAAAAATTAGATTGGTAGGAGAAAATGGTATTATCCAGACAATACCTAAACCTCTTATATCTTGCATCAGAATATTATGCACATATAGAATATTATGCTCATATAGAATACAGTGAATTCGACAAAATAATGTCAACTATGTGCTTCTTCAGTAATTGGAATGTTCTCTTATTCGCTGGAGACAAATCACATTGGTATATTTTCCAAAGTATGTCCACTTAGTACCTCCACCATTACCACCAAATAACTGTGACCATTTTACCTGCCATTCACATTGTTACCTACCATTCACATTGGTTTTTATATATGGAGAACAATAAAGCAAATCCCATTTCAAATAATTTGATATTATAGAAAATAGAATGCAATTCATTTGAACATGTTTTGATTGGTTTTCTAGGGGGTATGAAAAGTTGGAAAATTGAAAGGAAAAAAGGAAGAGTAGAAAACACTTTCTCACTTCATCATGGAGTGTAGATGTGCCATGCTGATCTCTCGTATCGTTTAAATTTACTTGTCCCATATTTGGTGAGAATCTGCGGGAAAAGATAAGCAGTCAGCAGTTAAATGCAAAGAGATGCCCCCCCCCCCCCCAATAAAACAACACCATCATGCATTAACATAGGCCATAATTCATAGTTAGTAGTTATGTAGTACTCCATAGTCTAGAGGCAGAAACTGCAATAGTAAGAGTTCCATGGTGGGGGCAGTGCATATGACATAACCTTATGCTTCACTCTAGAGTCTTGACATAGAAACTAGTAATAGTAAGAGCTAACTATTTACGCTGGGGGCTGTGCATGTGCTATTTTGTGAAAAAAAAACGTAAACTGCTCCCATACTCTGTATAGCACTAATAAAGTACTGTGATACTGTCCACATTATAATTTAGCTCATAAGGAAAATGGGTTGCACCTTGATTACCTTTTCTCTTGTGGCTTGTTGATAGGAGCATCGATTGGTGGTATGGGCATTGAAGATGGCCGGCTAGTTGGTCCTGCTGGTGCTGGACGAGTTGACATTAAAGGTCTCCCAGCTGACATTGACTGAAGAGATGGAGCTTCTTCCACCACTTTCCTAGCTAGCTAATTACAATAGCAAGAAAATAAAGTAATTAGCATCTACAGGTATTGTAATGATATGTGACAACAACTGTACAGAAAAATGGTAAAATGCCTTCTCGTTCAACTATAATCTCATTGTACTTTCAATTTTAAAAACAAGAACTGCATACTTGAACGTTGAAAATGCGATGTGAGACATGTAAAACTGGGGCGGATAAGTCCTTCTTAGGGCAGAACATAATGACTCATGAACAAGCTGGCACCTGGGAGAACATTCCATTTATGAATTTCAAGAGAAACTAATGCAGCTATTCTAATCATGCTAATTAAATCTCAACCCTTGCACATTTATGCAAAAGACTAAGGATAAAGATTCATTATATCACTACACTTGTACCACTAAATCAGAGTACGTACAATGTTTGTAGAGTTCACTCTAATCAGACACATCATTAACTGTTTAGACTAAATAATACTACTAATCAGTAATCTATCAAACTCCGTTATGTGAATAAAGTGTCACAGGCTAGGCATTGTTGAGAGCAACTGTTGCCTAAGTGCACTAACCCACAATCCAAGTAAAGTATCTAATAGCATTCAACAATAGCTTTAGATATATGAAGAGGGAAAAAAGAGATCTTGTGTTCAGAATTACCAACGGAGAAGAAGATCTGGCACTGATCCTACTAGAAGAAGCAGATGCCTTGGCAGCACCACCATTCATTCTATTGTTGGGGGGAGGACCGGAGGCAGTTCTGGATAGAGGCTGAGGAGCGAATCGGAAGCCGAGATCATCACTGTCTTCTTGCTCATCATCGTCATTCCCGGTGGCAGCTTGGGAGGCCATCACTTGAGCAAGCCGTTGAGCAGCGGCTTTGGCTGCGACATTCTGAGTGCGCTTAATGCTGGACATGCCGGAGACGGAGGAAGAGCGAACATGGTGTGGACGCGCGGCAGATGCTGCAGCTCCCGGAGGATTTAGCACTTCGGATTCGGTTCTCCAATGGCGCGTATATACCGGACTGTCATTTCTCCTCGCCTCCATTTTTTCGAGCCAGTATTAGTACGCCACTGGAAAGTACAGAAGAAAAGAAGATAAAATGAGGAATGTGAGCTGAAACTTAGACGCAAATTCCAGTAGACGCCTAGATTTTAGAGCGTTGATCTCCCTGATACTGGCCGCCACAGCAGCGAGTGAGCTACACGCTCCCGGAGAAGCGTTCGATGCGGTGTTGCCGGGAGGTGCGGTGGTTTTTCTTTTTCTTTTTTCTTTTTTTGCTCTCCCTTGACATATCTTGTTGGGGTACTGGTTTTATGAAGCTGTGCAAAATTTAACAAATCAAATCCAAGTTTGATAGACTTCCATTAATCAACTCTTAATTAGCTCGTTATTAAGCTCATAGTTTTTTTAAAAATTTGTTCTCCCTAAGACTAAAATCATACCAAATTTATAAAAGTAGGACTTGGATATGTTTCTTCCATCGGCCATGCTTGGTGTACACAAGATGTACACAAAATGTGTACATTGTCAGTGTACACAGGCAATTGGGTATCAAATTCTGCCCTTTTCTAATTGAATTGCCTGTGTACACAGGCAACTAGAGAGGGTTTTGTGTACAACTCACGTACATTAAGCATTTTTCTTCTTCCATGCGTGAGATTTATTTAGTTCCAGTTTAGGAAACTTTATTATTACTTTCCAGTTTTGCCCTTCACTTTAACACTCCATATTTAAAAACAAATTCCCCAATTTCCTGTCTCTTTTGCATCATCGCATATCTCCCGCTTCATCACATCTCATGGCCTACACGTATAATTCATCGGCAGGGCCGGTCCTGGGGTGGGGGGGGGGGGGGGGGCAACAGGGGCGACCGCCCTAGGTCCGAATTCCCAAACATTAAACTCCCAAATCCCAATAAGGCAATAACCCACTTGGCCGGCCACTTCATTGTTTTTTTGTTTTGTTTGTTTTCAATTTTGAAATCAAGTAACGAAGGTTCAATTGTTCAAGGTTGCCTAAGTGATAACTGATTGAGAAGGTTTCAAATCGACTGACCGTTCGGTTGTTACGGCAAGGCGCAAGCCTTCAATTTTTCAAGTCTGCCAATCAATCCAGGAACGGAGGAGGCGAGGAGCCCAAAGGTCGGCCGGTAATTACAAATTTACAAGTCTAGAACACCTTCTTTCAACTTTCAAGGTTTCAAACAATCTGTCAGTCACCAGTGGTAAGTAAATTAATCTCAATCTATTAGAATTTATTTTGATTTATGATTGATAATTTATGATTTATCCTTGCAATTGCAATTTGTATATAAGAAAATGTTTTTGTTATATGATGCATTTTATTGTCTTGTTAAATTGATATCTGTGTGCTATGGCTATGGACCCTATCGTGCAATTTTGAATTCTTTTATTGTTTTTTACGATTGTGAAGGTGCTCGATAAAATGGGTGAATCTGGTTGGGAAAAAGAGAAAAAGAGGCAAAGATTAGATAAGGCAGCCTTAAGTCAAAAAGGGGCAATGGAAAAATATGTTTTCGTTAAGAAGTTGAATCCTGAAAATTCTTCTCAAGTTGAATCGCCGTTAAATTCTTATGCGAATGAAAATAATAACACGCCTGGGAATAATGATATTGGTACAGAAGCCGCAAATGTTGAAACTGAGCCAGATAAATGTGATTTAGGTGAAGAAAATAAATCAATGAGGGGTCATTTTTCAGTGATTGATATATATGATCCGATTTATTGGGGGAACCTTGATGCCAAAATGAAAGATATTTTAGTTGAAAAAGGACCTATAAGGGAAACTCAACTAAATTATCCTCTTGATGCCAAGTTTAGACATTTTTCAAATGCCTATTATACTAGGAACATGAAAAATAAAGAAAGCGAAGATAGACAATGGCTAGTGTATTCCAAAAAAGTGGATAAAGTCTTTTGCTTTTGTTGCAAGTTGTTTAAAACAAAAGAAGGTCCCAATCATTTAGCTAATGAAGGAACTAATGATTGGAAACATCTTAGCGAAAAGCTTTCTACCCATGAAAAAAGTGTTGAACATTTTACTAATGTGCAAAGATGGATGGAACTAAAGATGAGATTGGCAAAACAAAAAACCCTTGATTCGGCTATTCAGGAAAAATTAGCAAAAGAAAAGCAGCACTGGAGGGATGTTCTTAAGATGATAATAGTTTTAGTAAAGACTCTTGCTAAAAAATCACTTGCCTTTCGTGGAAGTAGTGACAGACTTTATGATGAAAAAATGGCAATTTTTTAGGGTTCATTGAAATGATTGCAGAGTTTGATCCCATTATGCAAGAACATGTGAGGCGCATCCAATGTAGTGAGATTCACTATCATTATTTGAGTCACAAAATTCAAAATGAATTGATTCTGAGGTTAGCATCGAGTGTGAAATGTACAATTGTTAATCAAATTAAAGCTGCGAAGTACTATTCAGTTATTCTTGATTGCACACCCGACTCAAGTCACAGAGAACAAATGACTCTAATCATAAGATGTGTGAATATGTCATCAGGCAAAGCAGAAGTTGTTGAATATTTTTTGGAATTTCTAGAAGTACTAGATACAACTGGATTGGGGCTTTTTGGGGAATTAGAGCGTGTGTTGATTTCATTTGAGCTAGATATTGATGATGTTAGAGGACAGGGTTATGACAATGGGTCTAACATGAAAGGTAAGCATCAAGGTGTTCAAAGAAGACTACTTGATATGAACCGGAGAGCTTTTTACATGCCATGTGCTTGTCATAGTCTAAATTTAACAATTTCTGATATGGTTAAATCTTGTTCAAGGGCGGTTACTTTTTTTGGATGTGTTCAGAAATTGTATACACTATTTTCTGGTTCAACAAAAAGATGGGCAATTTTGAAAGAGCATTTAGAGGGCTTAACTTTGAAGTCATTGTCCACCACACGTTGGGAATGTCATGTGGAAAGTGTTAAAGCAATTGTAACCCAAACTTTGCAAATACGAGAAGCTTTGATTGAACTGGGAAAAGATTGCACTGATTATTCATCTAAAAATGACGTTAAAAGTGTGCTGAAACAAGTTGAAAAGTTTGAATTCTTATTGGGCATGGTAATATGGTATGATGTTTTGCATCCCATTAATAAAGTCAGTAAATTATTACAAAGTGAAGATATGTGCATGGATGCTTGTATAGTAAATATGAATGCTTTGATTATTTATTTAAACAAGTATCGAAATGAGGGGTTTGAAGATGCAATGAGTAGAGCAAAAGGTATTGCTCTAGAATTGGGGCTTGAACCTTGTTTTTCTTGAAAGGCGATCGATCCGGAAGAAAAAACACTTTGATGAAGATAAAGAAGATGATGAAGATAAGTCGCCTCAAGATGCTTTTAAGTGTTTTTATTTTAATGTTGTAATGGATGCTTGTTTGGTTTCTCTGCAAAGTAGATTTGATCAGATGAAGGTTTTTCAAGGTATTTTTGGGTTCTTGTTCAATTCAAGGAACTTGAAATCATTGTATTCTGATAAGTTGATAGATTCTTGTAAGATACTTGCAGAAGCTCTACAAGATGGTGAAAAGGAAGACATTGATATGGATGATTTATTTCAAGAATTGAAAATGTTGCAAAATATTTTACCGGATGATAGGGACACAGCCATTAAAATTCTTGATTTTGTGAAGAACTTGTGTTGTTATCCGAATACAACAATTGCTTACAGAATACTGTTGACAAATACCTGTGACCGTTGCCACATCGGAGAGAAGTTTTTCAAAGTTGAAGATACTGAAGAATCATTTGCGATCGACTATGTCTCAAGAAAGGCTGAATGGATTAGCAATTTTAAGCATTGAGCATGAAGTCTTGGAAAAGGTTGATTATGAAGCAATTATTGATGATTTTGCTTCACAGTGTTCGGCGAGAAACGTTTTTAAGTAATATTTTTCTTTTTATGTGATACTTGTTACCTTTCATCAAACATGTTATTTAAATATTAATAAAGTGAATTTCATCTTTATTTTTTTACCTTTATTCAATTATTCGGTAGTTTTATTATAATCTATGAATCATCGGTTTTGGAGTAGGTATCAATGTCGCTCGGCGGTGACTCCATGCCTGCGACCCGTCGCTAGCTTAAGCATCTCCCTGATTCAGATAATTTCTAGATTCTCTGCCTGAATCTATGGCGCTGATCAGACCACGGAACCGACATCTGTAACATCATGGCCTCCATAATCAAATGTTCCCACCACCTACTGATGGAGTATGTAGACTCGGACCCCCGAGTCTCACGACTATTGGGCCCGGACAGCGGCCCACTCACGCTTATCGGACGTCATTTATATCATTTGTATTATTGTAGAGTTCATATATCATTTGTATGTACTAGATTAGCCTTTTGTGTAATTGGGCCTATCGGGCCCATATTAGCGGCTCGACCCATTATTTGTTTATTTATACTCCCTTTGGGAAACTTGTAACCCTAGATCAGAATTCTATACACAATACACATTACTATTCATCATCTTCTTCACTTTCTTTAGCTCAAATCTCTCCTAATTATATAAGATTGGATACCCTATAATCCATTAATGATGCTTTCATTGAGAGATTTTGAGCAAAATCAAGTTAGATTCCTCCCAAAATACTCAAAATTTCATCCAAAATACAAGAAATCGAGCCAACAACAATTCTGAAAAATTAAAAGAAGAAAAGAAATCTGGAAATCCCAGGTTTGAGCCGCCGTCACCTTCCACGGACTGCTGTGCGCTACCTGGTGAAGCTTGCTGCACTACCTGAAGTCTGTCGCGCCATTGCAGCTCTCATCACCGCCCCTGTTCCAGGTCCACCATCGTCGCAGGTCATAGCCGCCATTGCAATGAAGTACAAATCCATGGCCTGCAGAACCTCCAGACGTGTGGTCTCCGTCCAGATCCAGACCAACCCGGCGACCGGCAGCGGAGTTGAGATCGGCGCTACAACAATCGACTCCAACAATGAGCTCCACCGCGGAGGTGTCTCCTCTTCTTTGCTTTGTCGTTACCACCGCTTTTAGCTCCAGGAGTTGTGCGTAGTATCTCCGACGTTGTTACCTCACTCGCCGGAAAGTAGCAACCAATCTAGGTTTCTCGTCCAGCAACTCCGGCGGAGGGCTCCTCCTTCGTTTTCCAAGGGCTTGTCCGACGGAACCAGCAGCCGAAGGCCTTTCCCCCATCGCCGGCAACTGATATTTGCTGGTGTGACTCCACGAGGTGCGGTCGGACCGGAAGTTCATGGGCGTCTTCACAGAAAACCCCAGGTGTGGTGTCCTTCACTAGCCGAAGTTGTTGC